CAAAATCATAGAAATCGAAACGTAAGCGAAAAAGTTAATGGGAACGGTGTCATGTTAATGCTTCAAACGTTATTAATGGAATCTCGTAGAAAAAAGCTTTTCGTCTTCACAGATCAAACACGCTTTGGAAGCAATGAAGTCATTAACTTCTTGAGTTTACTGAAACTGTGGCGATGAATCTATTGCTGCACCTAGTAATCGAAGTTATAAGCTTGAATTTACCTAGGGAAGTCACTCATTAGACCCTAAAAGACAACAAAGAATTAGCACCTGAGGAAATAAAGGTGTGATAGGTGACCGTGAAACCGCTTGTTGTCTTTGGAATATATGAATGTGATGCGATTCTATATAGTGTTGCGCTCGTTGTAAGCTCTATTTTGCCATTTAGGTTGTGGGTTTGCTTGGGTGTGGTTTGGTTCACTAGGACAAAAAGCAAATTTTTTCGCAGAGCGAAATATTTTTGCTGTAGGAACTCCAGGTCCGCTCATGATCAACGGTGGATCTGAGGTTTACACAGCGAAAAATGTTTCGCGAGCAAAATGGGAAAGTCGCTCTGTCCCAGTGAGCTACACCCGGTTTGCTAAGCCTAGTGCTTCCAGAGATAGTGTGTAATAATTGTTGTTTGGTTCTGCCTTGAAGTCTTTTGTATGCCACATAGAAAACGTGCCTTGGTGATTAAGAGCATAATTAGTTCTGGCAACATTTTCTTCCTAAAGAATGAACCAACAACGATGGATCTTTTCGTTGGTTAGGATTTGGGTAGGTAAGCATTATGCCGGCGGTGTCCCTTGAACTTGCAAGGCTATAATTATTTTAACTCGGTCTGTTGGGGTTGTTTTTTATAAATCTAATAAATAGTTTCTCTAAAGTTTCACTCAGGAGCCAACTCATGCTCGTATAATCAATTTCAGGAGTGGATGACACCCGAGACCCTGACGAGGATGACAACCATCCTTTTAGCATCATACTTCAAATGAATGAATTCACAGAGGTTCGTTTTTACTCTCGCCTCTGACCATAGTATGAAAATGAATCTTGAAAAATGTCTCCTCCTAGAGTAGTTGGGTCTTTGATAGATACAGAGCGACATTTAGGGCGACAAACGAGTAAAGGATGCAGTCCTATATTGCAAATCACAAGCGGATTTTCCTAAAGGCTTCTGGTCATCCCTTATATGTCGGTTCTGCTAATGGAAAAGGCGTTGATCCGCAAGTTTGGTAGGTTCATTCTAGATTAACTCGCTTGTTTCACAGCCGAGTTCGGAGTAACATGCATGGAAAGGGAGACGATGGTCCAAATAAGTTTTCAGGAAGGTATCATTGCATTTGAATCGATTCCTTGACAAGTTGATCACTTTGTCCTCAATACGTTCGGAAGCTCTGTATTCAAAACTGCGTATTCTACTAGCTCAGGGAGAAGCTACGAGACTTTCAAAGACAGCAAGTACTTATTGAAACTTTTTCAATCTATTCAAATGTTGTTGTGATCGATTCGCATCCTTTTAAGTGAATGAGTTGGACGTTTCCTTGAAGTGCAACACAATATGGGAAAACGACTCTGTCGCTTATAGATGTAATACCTGCGCCCTAACTCCTTGTAAGTTAATTGACTTTTCGTCTTTGTGAAGTTTAACCAAACGGCATTTGGTCTGCTGAGTTTGCACTTTTCAGGTATGTCTTTGTGTGCATCATGTTTCCAAGCTGCAAATCACGAGGGTCACGATTTCACTAGGTTTTTCTCGCGAGAAGGAGGAGCTTGTGATTGTGGCAACTCCGATGTGATCAGACCCATGGGGTGTGTGAGTTACATCAACTTCCTTTCAAAAGACTGTATGCGCAGCTCTTCGCGCACTTATACTAAGATTATCGATTCCCCGTATATCATCAATTTAACCGCAGTTGCTTCATTTCGTCGGTTTTTCCAATAAAAACTAAACTAACGGCGAATTATTCAGCCTTGGCGATTCATAGGGTCTTTCCCAAGTAGAAAATCCTCATTCATTCAGGTTCTGCCCTCGTCATGGTGAGAATGCTGTTCGGCCGCCTTCGCCGTCTCCACTTATTGTTTCTCTTCCTCGTCATATTTTCGTGAAACTAGTCGTATGCCTTTTCTTGGAATGGAGAGGATTTGTAAGTCCTCCAATATCTTTCTTTACTGCAGACGGTATTCTGTATTCTGTACACATTTTTGATATAAAGCGGGTCGCATTCTCATTACGTTGAAAATGGGTTAGTGTGTGCGAAGAAGTCTGCTCTTTCGTTAGACATAAACTTGAATATGATCTGTCGTAATCACCTCGCTTGTCCATCTTGCGCCGCAATTGCGAATTGAGGATTTTGTGAGGTTTACCATCGGTTTAACAATGTCAGGTCAATCATGTATCACAACGGAAGCCTGATGCAGAAGCTACTGGTCTAAAACCCTTCAAATTTCCCCTCATCTCAATCCATATTTGTGTGAAGGTCAAGGGAGAAAACAGGGATCTTATCATTACTTTCTTTTCAAATCCATGTATTCAAAGAAGACTGTGGTTAACTTTCGATTAAGAAAAACGTTTTAAGAAGAGAGTAAAAGGCTCTATTGGGCAGATTACAAATTTTAAATATTGGCATATCGTTATTCACACACGGCCACAGTCTGCAGAACCCACATTGTCGCTCGTTGCACCATATTTGACTGTTCTTTTCAGATCGATCGATACTCACAAGAGCAGGAATCACAGGGTTGGGAAGAACCGTATAATGTGGCTAGCTTTTGTGATACCCTCGTCTCACCTGTCACTCCACTGAT